CTTTTCAGGCTCTCATTTTCTTCCCATTGAGATAATTTAAGCCTGACAAAGTAAAGTAACCCTTCTGATGACAGCAGCAGTTCAGGAAGGCAAAGGCATCTTCAGGAGAAGGTGGCCCACTTAGCAGTCTCTTTGGCTACTCATTTTGGGAGACACCTGTTTGTTGCTGCCGAGAATCTTATGGAGAAGTGAGTCTTTCTGTTACCACTTTTCAGAAGCAGGTGGTCTGGATCTGATGGCTGGCTTGGCTCTTGCCGCCCTCCCGATCCCCGTCTCAGACGAGAGGCCTGTGCTTAGTGGCTGTTGTGCGCATTTTCCCCAGATGAGGCCACCCATTCTCGGACGTTTCTATTCCCAGCAAACGATGGTCTCCCTGAGGGGACTGGAGTGGCCGGTATTTCTTTCCAAGAGTTGTGCTTGTGCCTGTGCAGATGCCTGCTGGGCATTCCTGCCTGTGGCTCCACTCAGGATTGCTTGACTTTTGATGCCAAAATGCCAGTGTTGGTTTAAAATTTGGTAACGTCGGGAAGTGGGAGGTTCATGTAAGAAGGGATGGGGTGGATGTAAATATGAGTCCACTCTGCCTCTTCTCCCTTCAGAGTTACTGATAACTTAATAGATGTGACTGTTTGGCCCTGACCCCAATGCCCGATCTTGGTAGGATGAAGAAACCTAGCAAGGGCCAGTTTTCAGGACAGTGCTGTGAGGGGGATGCTGTTCACATCTTGCCAGGAGTAAATCGAGGCTCAGGTGGGGAGGCCGAATAACCTGCCTGCAGTCATTGGGAATGAGAGGGAGAGCTGCAGCTGCCCCAGGGTCAGGCTGCGTGTGGCCACCTGATCCTCCGTGGAAGGTGGACAGGGTGCCCCTTCTGTGCTGCCTGTGTCCGAGTGCAGAAGATTGGGAAGGGGTTTGAGATAGAGGAGGAATGTCGCTATGGATCAGAATGCTGTTAACTAACTGGAGACATGATGACTATGAAATTGTTAGCCAGTGAGTAGATGCTGTTTAAAGGCTGGTGCCCACCAGGCTCCGTGGATTGCCTTTGCTGTGTTTCACTGTTCAGCTTCTAGGGACAGTCTCAGCATCACCTCTGTTAATCATGTTACATTGCGTGTCCCGTGCCAGTGAGTGAGAACATTTTACATTCGCCGAGCGTGAGAACTAGAAGGAGCCGAGGAAACCATCTGAGCAGCCCCTCTCGCCACAGCGCTGACCTTCTCCTGGTGGGCAGCTCTGCTGTCGCTCGGAGCTCTGCGGCCCCCGGCTCCCTAGGCGAGACCAAGAGTACAGAAATTAAACCCCTCTCTGCAACCACCCCGCAAACAAAGGCGTTATACAGGGAAGACTTTTTTTTATTTTTAAGTGTGGCATTAACATCTAGCTGAGTTCCAGCCAGAAGTGTTGAGCGGCATCCGGGTTTAGACTGCGATTTAAGCACACGGTCTATACCCTGAGGCCAGCCTCCTGCCCTCGCAGCGAATTCATGGAGTTACCCTACTTTGTCTCACACGTGATCTGCAGTCCAGCCACCCCGCACCCGATGTCAAGTGCCCGGTGAGGGGCCACCTGCTGGCCGCAGGCAAGGAGTGCGTGGCCTCAGCGCTTTCCCACTCCTGGCTCGGGGCTCGGGCTTGGGCTCCAGGAACTGTGTCTGATGAGGAAGCTGGCGTGGCCGTCAGCTTTTCACACCCCTGGCATGGTCCCCCCACACGCCTGCCTTTCCGCCTTCCACTCCTCTCCAGCTTTCTCCCAGCCTGCAGCTTCCTGCTGAGGGGGACAGTTCCTGGTTCCTTACCTGTCTCTCCCTGAACGTGCCACCCTTCACGAGACAAAAGTGCACTGTTCCTGCCTTTACTTCTTGGGAGCCTCTCATGTGTTTTTAGGCTGCAGGTGGAGGAGGGAGTGCCAGAAAACACAGCCAGTCCGTTTCGGCCTCTGTCCTGATTTTCTTCCTCCTTCCCTTTTCTCCTTTCCTCGTCCTGCAGTGACGGAGTGGGGATCCTGGCGCGTCCATTCTGGACTCCCCCGCTCACTCACTGTCACGGACGACGCCGTGGGCGCTTCTCGTTGACAGAGCTCCTCTCACCCTCCCCGTGCTAATGGACAGTGAGCATCAGAGTTCAGATCAGGAGTCCAAGCCTGCGTGTGGAAAGCTCCCACACCAGTTGTATTTGGCTGTTTTTGGCTTTGTTTAGGTGGCAGCTTTGTCCGTTTTTACGCAGCCCACATACACCTCTGCCAAACACCGAGAGAAAATACCCAGAGAGAGGCGCCTTCACACGGGGGCCACGCCACGGAGGGTAGGAGAGGAAGCGGGATGGGTGGGGGCTCAAGTTGTGTCTTCTTCTTAAGAAAAATAGAAGTAACTCCCAGATTTTCCATCCTCCTTATAACCCACCTTTCTAACCCTGATATTCTTTGAAAAGTGAACGACATTTTCATTTCTGCGTTTTTGGTCTCGGTGGCCAAGGTCACTATCTCAGCACACGTGTTCTTGCTGTTCACTCTTCTCTTGCTCTTAACTCTGTTGGATAACATCGTGTAGTGTGAGTTGCCTGTCTTCCTTTCTTGTCTGTCCTGTGAAGATGAAAGCTAGCTGGCTGGTAGTTGTAACACGCACATTGTGGAGAGGAAGCGACGTCATAGGCCTTGGGTGCACAGGTCACTCTTTGTGGGTACACTTTGGGAAGCTTCATAATTGGACATAATATTTTGGCATCATTATGTTTTCCCCTGAATTTAACATTCATAGGAATCTTCATCACATGGTGTCAGCCATACTGTCCTAACCAATTGTGTAGGTGACACATTCACTGTTGTGAAAATTACGGAGTAAATCCCGCAATAGGTGGCAGCAAGAAACCAGTCAGTCGTTTTCTTTGAAATCAAGAATCCTGTCATAGCAGTGTCTGTCTTGTTCTCCTCTGGGCCTGGTTTCCTTCCTCTTCACCTGGTCAGACTCAGAGAAGCTGCAATGTTGCCTTGTAACAATAAAATGTTAAAGGAAAAGTATTTTATTCTTACTTGAAATTATTAAATACCATGTTCCATTTTTAGCGAAAAGAAGTAATTTGAAAGGTGTACCATGAACATTGAAATACTTTACAAACTAGTCACTCAAACATGTGATATATATATTTTTTTAATGTGAGTGTTTTTCATAAATTTAGCAGAAAACACCTGTCGAGCTATATGAGGGGACACTTTAAAGCAGTGGTTCCCAACCTTTTAGGCACCAGGGCCCAGTTTCGTGGAAGACAGTTTTCCCAGGGGCCGGGCGGGTGGGGAGCGGCTGCAAACACAGGTGAAGCTTCGCTTGCCCTTTGCCTCCTGCTGTGCAGCCGGACTCCCACCAGGCCACCACCAGTTACTGTCTGCTGTCAGGGCTTGGTGGCCCAGGACTTGCTGACCGCAGCTTTAAAGCATGCAGTGGGTTTCCCAAGCCTAGTCCTTCCTTCTGAGAAAGCGCCCCTCTGACCACCCCAGGTGCCAGGTCCCTGCTGCACACGCGCAGTGCTGTGTGGCTGTGGACACTTGCAGCGGTTCGGGCTTCTGTGCATATCAGCTGGAGCGGAGTCTGAAGGCCCCACGATGTGTGTTTCCAGGGAGCTATGCTGGGTGACTCTTCCCGCCAGTTCTTGACTCACCTGTTTGATTGTGGCAGTCTCAAGGTTACAACACAAAAGTGCCAGACCACAGCTCTGAAGTCTTGTTTGTTAGTACACAAAACCTTTTTCCCTGTAAGATTGGAAACTGGGGCCCCGGAGTCTAGTGACTTGGTTGAGGGGGGAAGAACCTGATGGCATAGCAAATGACATGCCACTGTCTTCTCTCTCCTGGAGCCCCTCCTCCCTTCCCCCTTCCTCTACTCCTCCAGCACTCCTCCTCCCCTCCCTCCTCCCTTCTTAGCCACACTCCCCTCCCTTTCCTCTTGCCCTTTCTGTTTTCCTCACATCCATCCATAGGAATCCAGGACAAGTTGCAGCAGAGCTTCCATTGCATTTTAAAACCCGGTATTTACAGTAAATAAAAGAGGATAGACAGACCAAAGCAGAAAACTGAAGGGAGGGAGGGCTGCGCCTCTCTCAGCGGTCCACCCATCTGCCGGGTGTGGGGTGGGGACGGCGCAGGGCCTACAGCGTGTTCTCTTGCGTGCACATCTGTCGAGGGGAGCATATGATCTCATGCAGACTTCACTATGTGCTGGTCACTCATTTACTACCAAGCAAGGGGAACAAAGAGCCTTTACTGTAACGAGAAGACCTCCTATCTCTTGCCAGCTAGGACAACAGTGACCTTCGGCAGAGGTCACTGCAGGACGTCTCGGCAAGTCAGACAGGAGTTGTCCTGGGAAACTCAGTGTGGGAGAGCCACAGCCACCTTAGTCAGGAGGGCGCTGGCCCCCGGGCGGGGTCTGCGTGGCCCCCCAAGATATCCAGGGAGTCCAGGAGCCATCCAGGAGGGCCTGGGCAGCTTGCTCGTCCCATTTGATCTCCCAGCATCCGTAGTCACTGTGTACTCGCCACGCTAGAGACCATTAAAGGGCATCTTTCTCTTTGTGGTAGAACGTAGGTGTCTTCTTGCTGTGTTCTAAAATCCCTACATTTGTTTTTATCTTTTATTGTGTAAAAGATTTAATTGAATCTTTTATTATTGAATCTATTATTTAATTGAATATATTATTATTAAAAAGATTTAATTGAAACTTTTAATTGAATACTATTGTTTTACTTTAAACATACAAATTTTGGTTTCATTGTTATCTTTCTTTTAGTATTATTAAGTCAAAAACTCACTCTATTCCACTCAGGAGAATGATCGTTTTAGTTATTGGTGTTCTCCATCTTTTTTAAAATGTGTTTTGTTTATTTTTTTGAAAGGAAAGGGTGAGGGGGGGGGACAAATTCCAATAGTCCTAGGAGAGTGAATCAAAAGCAACTTTTCATTTTCATTGCAATAGAAAGCCAGATAAATATATATTTTTTTTCCTGCTTCAGGTCAGAAACCCTTCCCTTGTCAAAAATGCGATGCCTTCTTTTCTACCAAATCTAACTGTGAACGCCACCAGTTGCGCAAACACGGAGTTACCACCTGTTCCTTGAGAAGAAACGGGCTTATCCCCCAGTCAAAAGAGAGTGATGTTGGATCCCATGATAGCACAGGTAGTGCCGCCAGGTGATGGAGAACTGAGAGAGAGGGCGACAGGAGGTCAGTTAGGAGTTGTAGCAAACCTCAGTGTCCGAGCTGTGGTGGGCTACTTGGTAGGGCCCAGAGCTGGCAGCCCGGAAAGGTGGGCCCTGATGAGGCCCGGGAGACCAGTCCTGGGTCAGGTCTGCGTAGATGTACAGCGGGACTGGCTCTTGAGCCAGAAGCCCGGGGAGTTCGGGAAACAATGGCTGTGCTCCTAGGTGACTTTTTGGGTCTGCTAGGGACAATGTCTCCCTCCCAGCAGAGGATGCCTTTGTTCCTGATGTTGGGAGGCGGGATGTAAGGGAAGAGCTACAATTTTTAGCCCTTGGTGTGAACACGTTCACAAGGGATGTGAAACCTTACAGGTTTGGGGAACCCTAGCCTCTGCAGCCTGCTCAGGAGCAGGGATGGGCCTGGGGTGCCAGGGTGTTTGCAGGCACGAGGGGTGTGAGCCCTGCGTGGTGAGGGGCACAGTGCTTTTCTCTTCAGTAACTCTCTTCCCAGTATGAAACTGTGTCCTGTTTGAAAAAGCACTCTGCATGTCCTTTCTTTAATCATACCTCTGCTTGACCTGAATCCGGTATCATTCTCTGTGCTGACGTGTGCTTCCTCCCTCCAGCCCCCACAGAGCGATTAACGGCTGCCCAACAGGTCTTTTGCCGCCCTTTCTTCCCTTATAGCTTCCGTATTTACTCGTGTCCTCTGTTCAGTACGCTCCATCCTCTCTGACTGCTGGGGTTCTCCATCTTCCACCCCCAGAACAAGACGAAAAAGACAGCCTGCTACACATTGCTCGGCCCTGCCCGGCGCGCTGGGTAGGAACAGTGCTGGATTCGGTCCTTCGGGCCTAGAAGGCTGCCCGTTGCTTGCGGACAAGGAGACTCCCCTGTGTTCTCTTCGGGTGTAACTGTGTCCTGGGAGGGGGGGTGTGTGTCTGGGAGACAACCCACCTCCTGCCCCAGGGGTCAGTGTGGACAGAGGGAGGCATTAGCCCCAGCCCCAGCCCTCTTGTTCTTGCCCCAGTTATGGAGGGAGCGAGGCACATCCGAACCGAGCTCCTCCGGGAGCAGGACTCCGTCTCCACCGGAGAAGCCGTGCTCAGCCTTCCCGCCCTGCCGTGGAGCCCCGGCAAGCTGATCATGAGGGCTCTTGCCGGCCTGGCCCCCGGTCCTCAAGAGACCATTTGAGGGTATAAAAGTGCAGGTCAGTTGGCTCACTGCTTCCCCAGCTCCCATCTCCACAGAATTCACTAGGATTTTGAGTAATGGCGTGGATGCCCACGGAATTTTGCCGCCACTCAGATCTCCGTGAGCCAAGGGTGATCTGCTTTGCAACCCACGGAAAGCCACAGTATGCTGGCAGAGCACACAGTTGCTGCAGACCGTCCTACTAACGTTTAACGTAACCGCAGGCCACCGTCTTACCCGTCAGTCTGGAGCATTCTCTCCCAGCCTGATTTAGAAAACAGCCGTGTGATTCTTCCCATAGCAGTTCCAAAGGAGGGAAAGCAGTTGATATTGGAGGAGTTGGAGGGAGCCCCTGGGTTCCATGTTTAAAGTGTAGGAACTCACACTGGGTGTGCGTGTTGCATTCAGACCACATGGGGTCTCACTGGGACTCGCTGACGTCTGCGGGCACACCAGATGCTGCGGACACAGTGACAAATCCAAGTCGTGGGCACAGCTTCAGCTCAGCACCAGGTTTTATGCTGTGGGTATATTATAAGCTCACAGTTAAAAGTTTCTGTTTTTCCACATCCCATCAAAGCCCTTCCCACCTCCACCCTGCCCCGGAAATTGTATAGGTTTTCTTGAAGGGACACAGCCTCTAGGAAAAGAAAAGTCACTAAAAGTTGTAATGTGAAACCAGCAAAGAGAAAATATGCTTGGTTTAATGGTGGTTGCAATCCACAGTGAGAAAAAGGCCTGAGATTTCAGAGGGGAGAAAGGGGATCAGGGAGGTAGAGTTTGGAGATTTCAAGGAGAAATTTTAAAACCAGGCAAAGCTGATGGAGATGGGGTGAAGGCTTCATATGGGGCTCCCTCCCATGAAGCTAAAAGTGAAGCTTTGGAGGAAGACCTTTTTAAAAAAAAACAAAAAACAGGAAGTGACCAAGGAAGTTCTTGAGGGGTTTTCTAGGTTTATATGCCTAGTCTAGATCACATTTTTTAAAAATTCCCTAACATGTTTTATAATGTAGGTCTGACTTTTCAGTCATGTAAGGTCCTTTAATAAAATGTTCCCCAGATTTTCCCCCAAAAGAATACTAAAAAAGCCATGGTAGAGGGTGGGTCTCCCTTAATGGGACCATATTGAATATTCAGACTTAAACTGAAACTCTTCAGTCTCCTGGGCAGAGAGGTGTCTTGGCCCACTTTGGCCTTGGGGGATACCCTTTGTCCTTGCTACCGATGCGCGCTGCCCAGTCAGGTAACTATTTAGATTGGTTACCTGCCCCCACTGTGGAAGAACATTTAAATTTTAGGAAGCAATAAGCTTCCTAATTGTTGGGTTGAATAGGGGAGTCTCCAGTGTCCTGTAGGGGGAGCTTTGAGTTTATAGTCTACTAGGATTCCTTCTGCTTCCTCTAGCAGTTTTCTTAGATGTTTAACAACACAAATGAGGAACTAATGGACAGAGGAGAAATGCATGTTTTTAAGGTAGCATTGTGTATAAAAAGTCATCAGTCAGCTCAGCTACCTGCATTTAGGCTGGGTGTTGAGAAGGGGTAGGGATCTAAATGGGACGTGGCCTTGTAAGTTACATATTCACCATATGTGAAGAAGTGAAGGCTGTTGTTCACAAGAGTCACTAATAAAACTTAGTTGAGGCCAGGCACAGTGGTTCACACCTGTAATCTCAGTACTTTGGAAGGCCCAGGTAGGAGGATTGCTAGCAGCCATGGGTTCAAGACCAGCCTGGGCAACACAGCAAGACTCCATCTCTATAAAAAATAATAAAAATTAGCCAGGTGTGGTAGTACGTGCCTGTAATTCCTGCAGCTCAGGAGGTTGAGACAGGAGGATAGCCTAAGCCCAGGCATTCAAGGTTGCAATTCAAGGAGGGCAGTGGTGCTATGATGACACCACTGCACTCCAGCCGAAGCAACACAGCAAGACCTCATCACTAAAAAATAACAAATAAGTAATTTTTAAAAATCAGTTGGAGTTGGCCAGGCATGGTGGCTCACGCCTGTAATCCTAACACTCTGGGAGGCCAAGGCAGGCAGATCATTTGAGCTCAGGAGTTCGAGACCAACCTGAGCAAGAGTGAGACCCTGTCTCTACTAAAAAATAGAAAGAAATTTGGCTGGGCAACTAAAAATATAAAAAACTAGCTGGGCGTAGTGGTGCACGCCTGTAGTCCCAGCTACTCGGGAGACTGAGACAGGAGTATCTCTTGAGCCCAAGAGTTTGACATTGCTGTGAGCTAAGCTAATGTCACGACACTCTACCAGGTAACAGAGCAAGACTGTCTCAAAAAAATAAAAATCAATTGGAGTTTTTTGGAACCTGAAAGGCACGGGCTACCCTGCTAAAACACTCCCCCTAGTGGAACCTTGGTAGGATACAACCAAGCCTCCTTTGTCCAAAGAGAAGTGGGTTGGCCTTTGTTGTACTTGGGTGAATACTCCATTATCCCCACAAAGGAAGGGCCCAAGAGCAGGAACAGTTTGATTAGTATATTTACTTGGATTTGGTTTTAGAATTCATTTTGATTTTTTTCAAGGTTTATCATTCTAAATATGTTCTGTACAGTTAAAATAATCCATGTTCTTTGCTGAGAAAAACAAATTAATGGAAACAGCATAAGATGTTCTGAGACAAAAAGAAAGTTACCAGAGATTAAACCCTTTTTAAAAAAATTGCCACAAAATCTACAAATAGATCGAGCATTTTTTATTTTTATTGTAAAGTTTATATCAAAATCCATTCTATAGATGCTCTGTATTGAAATGATTCAAGAAAACAAACATTTAGTTTTTCCTCAGAATGTGGCCTAGACATTGGTCTTCATATATCAGGATTCATAATCTTTAAACTTCCAGATAATTTTCAAAAATCATTTCTTGTCAAAAATTTTATATTCACACCATAGTTATGTTTCCTTCTGAAACTTTTTTTTTTTTTTTTTTTTTTTTGAGACAGAGTCTCGCTTTGTTGCCTAGGCTAGAGTGAGTGCCATGGCGTCAGCCTAGCTCACAGCAACCTCAAACTCCTGGCTCAAGCAATCCTTCTGCCTCAGCCTCCCGAGTAGCTGGGACTACAGGCATGCGCCACCATGCCCGGCTAATTTTATATATATATATATATATTAGCCAATTAATTTCTTTCTATTTATAGTAGAGACGTGCTCAGGCTGGTTTCGAACTCCTGACCTCGAGCAATCCGCCCGCCTCGGCCTCCCAGAGAGCTAGGATTACAGGCGTGAGCCACCACGCCCTGCTTGAAACTTCTTTTGATACCCAAACCGTGGCTGCCAAAGGGTGCGGTCAGAATAAAACTAATGAATGAAATGAGTGGAAGTTGTGCAGACGGTTGTAGGTAAGCCAAAAGCCCCAGGCAGGGTAGGTGCTATCTCTTTACACCACGGGAGGAGGCAGGACCAGCTTCTCACCCCAGCCCCCATGGCCACCTTGATGGCAAATAATTGTGAATGGGTCATTAAAGAGGAATACTAGATGAGAATTGACATTGTGCTGTGTCTGGTCACATCAAGTGCGAGTCCAGGATAGGTGCATGAGTCGGCTGGCTCAAGCGCTGTACTCAGATCTAGCATGTGGAGGAAGGTGCATCTAATACGTGTACTATAAAAAAAAGGAATTCCATCTGCCTGATTATCCAAGGAACTCCTGAACCCCTGCAGTAGTAAATTAGCCACTGTACCTACAGCTAAATAGCAGGTCCTAGCCAACTTGGGATTCACTGTTACAGCACATTAAAAGAATAAGTCATTAAGTCCTAGTTCAACCTGAACAAAGAGAAGGTGAGGCAGTGCTTTTGACACTGTTTGGTGTCATTAATGTTGCCACAGTGCCCTCCCTTAAGAGGGTCTTTGAAAACTGGTGGACTTGCTACATGCAGTTTTGCTGTGGGCAGTGGACAGATAAGAACAAATCGAGGCAGGAAATCAGGGTCTACGAGAGCCTGCAACCCAAAATTGCTCCTCTCCAAACCACACACAGCCCCTCATGTCAGCTCCCTCCTGTGCGCTCTTGCTGAGCCTGGCATACGGAGCCCCTCCCTTTGTGATGTTCCCACCACCCATGGGGCTGACAGCAGCCAGAAACCTTCAGGTGTGCATGCGCCTCCTGTAGCCTCTGAACTCTTTACCTGGAAGCGAGCTGTCAGGCAAGAACACATGTACCATGTGGATACACAGAATGCAGGCTGGGGGCCATGTCCTAGGACACTCTTGAGAGACCATGCTTTGGGGGATTCTGGGGTGGTCCTGTGAATGTTGCATGTTTGTATAATCTCTTTGCACTGGAAAAATAACTTGCAACTTGGCTTCCTCAACCTCCCTAGTGCTGCGAGTCTCTGGAATGCACCCTCTCCTACTCGCAGCCCCTGTCTGCGCTGCCTGAGTCGCTCACACCTTCCTGCGGGGCGGGGGCAGCTGAGCGTCCCTGTGTGTGGCAGGGGAGGTCCAGCCAGCCCTGGGAACCCACATGCGGGGATGTGGAGGCTGTTTTTGCCTCTCTGAAGTCCCCAGGTTCATCTCGGTCCTCAGGGATGGATGTAAGGGGTGTTGAGAATGTGGGGGGAAAGAAGTCCTTACTGGGTCAGGGGTGGGGGATGCGGGGTGGGTCTAGGTGAGTCCCTCTGGCATCCTTGGAAGGGGTGTCCTTGGTGGCACCCCTCTGAACTCCCCCCGTGCTGTGCTTGCCCACACAGATAGCCAGTCAGACGCTGAGCCACCGGCCACGGCAGGTGAAGTGCTGGATCTCACCTCCAGGGACAAGGAGCAGCCGCCATCCCAGCAGGGAGCCGCTGAGCTGGGCCAAGGCTCAGGGGACCCCCCGGCGGAGGAAGCCGAGGAGGGATGGGGCTCCCCTGTGTGTGGGGAAGAGAAGGGGGCCCGGGAGAACCAGCAGGGAGAGCCAGAGGAGGAGCGCGGCTCGGAGGAGAGAGCCGGGGACGCGGAGGAGGACACGGCCAGCAACAAGAGCCTGGACCTGGACCTCGCCAGCAAGCTCATGGACTTCAAGCTGGCCGAGGGCGCGGCGGGCGCTGTGGGCGGCGGCTCTGCCCCGCAGGACCAGAAGCACGCCTGCGACACCTGCGGGAAGAGCTTCAGGTTCCTGGGCACCCTGAGCCGCCACAGGAAGGCGCACGGCCGCCAGGAGCCGCGGGAGGAGAAGGGTGTGGCGCCTGCGGAAGGCGAGGCGGGCGAGGCCGAGGGGCCAGCGCCCAGCCCTGAGCCCGAGCCCGCGGAGCCCGAGGCGATGGCGCCGGAGCCCGCCCTGGGCGCGGAGGAGGCCTCGGCGGAGAAGCAGGCGGAGGAGGCCGAGGGCCCTTCCGACGGGGAGGGCGCGGCTGAGAAGAGGTCCTCGGAGAAGAGTGACGATGACAAGAAGCCAAAGACAGACTCCCCTAAAAGCATGGCCAGCAAGGCAGACAAGAGGAAGAAAGTCTGCAGCGTGTGCAACAAGCGGTTCTGGTCGCTGCAGGACCTGACCCGGCACATGCGCTCCCACACAGGTAGGCGGGAGGACGGTTGGGCCCGCCCGCTGCGGAAACGCTGTGGGCGGCGGCCTCAGCCTTCACTGAGGTTGCTGGGGTGCCCTCTGAAGAGGGCCCGGGTAAACCGGGAGTTTAAGGAATTGTCCTCTTAGACCTTGAAAATGGTGTAGGCCTCCTGTAGCCAGGCAGCAGAGTGGGCCCTCAGCAGTGGTGCTTTCGAGAGCATTAGGACCAGTCCCTTAGTCCTCCGAGCCTCAGTCTTCCCATCTGTAGAATGGGGTGGTGGCTGCCCTGTCTCGGCAGGTATCTAGAAGGAGGTGAATGCTAGGCACATGGGGCCACGTAGTCTCATCAGGTCTAGTCCTGTGGCAGGAAAGACACCTACTGCCCCAGGCCCCTATGGGGAAGGCGCTGTGTCATCCATTAGGGTCGGGTGGTCTTTCCTTTCTTGGTGCACAGCAGCCGGGCCGAGGTGACTGGCTCCTCTGCTGCTGCCGCACCAGCATGACAGGGCTCTCACTCCTCTTGGAGCTCACTCCCTACCGCAGAGTGCAGGCCGCAGGGGCCTTTGTTTAGGCAGAAAAAAAGGAGACCTGGATATACTCACGGAGCCAAAAGATAGAAACATCCTTCCTCCCTCCTCAGTAAGCCCCAGGCCTGGTCTTGTCTCCGCTTCCCTCCCCTTCAAGTCCAGCCTATGGCAGGTGTGCGGCCCCACACCAGCCCCTTGCTCAGCGGTAGAAGGCTGCACGCTTGGCTCAGGCATTCCTGGGCCCAACAGGTGACAGTCCAGCCGCTCCTGCTGGCTGGGTGTGTGAGCCGTCAGAGAAGCGCGGGGCGCTCCATGCCAGGCGCAGAGAGCATTCCTGCCCTCGATGTGGCGGGGGCCGCTGCCCTGCAGAGGCCCGGGAGACCCTCCTCCTGCCTGGCGTGTCCCACCCCTGCACTCTTTCCCGGACTTGGTCGGGGCAGTCTGCGTGCCGCCGAGGCCTCTGCTTCCGGGGTTCTGGTTTCCTGGGTGAGTCCGTAGAACACTCCTGTGGAGAGAGGAGCAGGAGAGAAGCGTGGCCCTGTACGTGTCCCCTTCGGCTCGCCAGAGCGGCTGAAGAAGAGCGCTCTCACTGGGCAGGAGAGGGCCTCGTCCCCACCTCGCCCCGCCGGGGAGATGGGCGCTGGGGCCTCAGCTTAACGACGCACCATCTCTTTCTCCTGTCCTCCAGGGGAAAGGCCGTACAAGTGTCAGACCTGCGAGCGAACCTTCACCCTGAAGCACAGCCTGGTTCGCCACCAGCGGATCCACCAGAAAGCCAGGCACGCCAAACACCACGGGAAGGACAGCGACAAGGACGAGCGGGGCGAGGAGGACAGCGAGAACGAGTCCACCCACAGCGGCAACAACCCCGTTTCTGAGAACGAGGCGGAGGCGGCTCCCAGCACCAGCAACCACATGGCCGTCACCCGGAGCCGGAAGGAGAGCGTGGCCCCCGCGGCCAAGGATTGCAGCCGCAGGGAGGAGAAGGCCTCGGCGGGGCGGGCGGCCGAGCCTGGCCGCGGTGACCCCGACGCGGACAGCCCCGCCGCCCTGGGGCAGGACCTGCTGGAGCCGCGCGGCAGGAGGCCTGCGCAGCCGGCCCTGGCCGGGGACGGGGCCTCGCAGCTCCTGGGGATGGAGTGACGGCCTGCCCGTCCCTCAGCACACAGACGAAAGCCAGCAGAGCACGGCGTCCAAATCTGTACTCACGAGGTTTCCTCGCGCCCCGGCTGTCGGGGAGCGAGCAGAGACGCGACGGGCCGCCCACCCAGTGCCATAGCTCACGGCGAGCGGCCGCCGCCCAGTGCCTTAGCTACTCACCGGATCCTGCGCCCGCCGCGGGCGCCACTTTTCCAAAATGACTTCTTTAAAAAAGGAAACAAATATTGTAATGAATTGTCTGGAGAGGACCTCTTCATTTGAGCATTAACGTTACCCTTTGTGTTGTGTGTGAGCTTGTCCTTGTGAACCTGTGACAGTACTGTCCGCTCTGTGAGCTGGAAACAAGAACAACCACACCCTCGGGTACCATCGCCAATAACTGGAAGAAAATGATGTGAATTTCACGAGTGGCCCAAGGAGAGGGGGATAAGATGATAGCTTCTCACAGACCTTTTTTTCCTGTTTGCTACTTTGGGGAGCTGTCCTCGGGTCCTTGGTATTGCAGGATGTGGTTGATGAAGGTTTCCAATATGGTTTCAAGCCAAACCCAGGAAAGATTCTAGCTTCAACCTCATGTGTGTTTCTATTCTCTCAGCGTTAGACATGGTCACTGTTCAAGTTTCAAGGCATTTGTTCTTAATTTACAGAGAAGAGTTTAACCCCCTCCCCCAAGCAACTTGACTCTGGAAAACATGTATGGATGGCATATATTTGATTTTCCCTGTCTCCCCTTTCGGTATATGTATTATTAATGTTATTATTAATATTATTTTAGTTAATCAGTTTCCTGGTCTCTGCAGTCAGCAGAAACAAATGGGCAATATTTGTCCTGGGAGACCTGTGCTGCCCCCGGGTCCCCACGTAAACCTTTGCCTGTGGCTGCCGCTGGCACCCTTGGGTGGTAGCTCTTCTGCTATACTCAGACAAGCCTTTCTTCCGTGACTGCAGAACCCAGCAGGGGCCGTGAGCAGTCCTCCCGAACACGGCCGAGGAGCAGCTCAGAGAGGGGAGAGCGAGCACGCATGCGTCCGGGGAGCAGGCGTGGCGAGGCCAGGGTGTGCCCGGAGCGCTGCAGAGATGGCTTTCGGGAAAGCAGGGCAGTGAGGAGCACGTTACTCACCAGCAAGGTATCCCCGGTCTTCCTGCTAAGCCCAGCCCAAGCCTTACCCAGCTGTGCTACTGTCATTTGCAAAGCGAGGAACTACTACTACTGGTAATAAAACTACACATGCAAGATGTCAGATGAGAAATAGGTTTATATTTACCTTCCTGCGATTTGGGGTTGGTGCTTAAATATAAATGTGCTGTGTCTAGTTTTTTAAATAGCCCAAACCCCTGGGTGCAAAAAGGCAGAGTTCTTTTTCCCCACGAGCATCCTGTGCAGGCGATAGACCCCCGCTGGCGCCTGCCGCGAGAATGTCCTGCTGTAGCTGAGCTCGAGGACGCCGAGCCAGCCTGCTGCCGGGGACCCTGTGTCCGCTCCACGTGGAGCTCCTGCCTCCCCCGGGGGCGTCCCTCTGCCTCGCGTCCCTCCCGGCCCGGGGCTCCTGTCCTGAGACTTGCGCACACAGAGCCACACGCGCCTTTCCTCCACTTCACCGTTTCTAGTGGCCGGAATCCAACCTGCCAGACTTCAAAGGAAGATAGATAGTCGTGAGGTCATGAAAAGTGATGTCTTTGCATACGAAAGGAAAAAGGTTGAGGTATATATGATTTTAACTGTATTAGGGATGTATGAACCAGTTTAAAAACAAAAGTTTTATTTACTGTAGAGATGAATGCAAATCAGAACCAATGATCCCTTGGTCTACTTAGTTAAAACCAGTTCATACATCCCTTAGGGTTTTTTTTTTATTATTATTACGATTATTATTGTTATTTTTGTTGTTGTTATTATTTGGGGTTTCTTTGTGTTTTGTTTTTCTTTGCAACTCCCCACACTAAACTCGCAATATTGTGGGGAGAAGCCGTGACTAAGCGCTACGCTGCGGTGAGATGTAGCAGTAATCAGCTCCCGGCCGCGGGTAGCCGGGGCTGCAGCTCGCAGTAATCACTATTGATTTAAAGCTTTATTTAGCCTTCATCTGTACCCTCGTAGTCAATAAGGTCTTGCCACATTTTATTAGTGAGGTTGAGAAGTGTATTATTTGTTTGTTGTTCTGTCCCTCCCCCAATATTAAACTGTGAAATTTGTGATTTGTTTAAACTCTGGGTGAATCATAGCATAGTTTGCATGTCCAGCTAATTTGTTTCTATACATTTTGTTTGATTCTCTTTCTCCTTCTCTCAGGGCTTTTACAAAAAAATATATATATATGGATCTTCTGAAAAGTTTTTTGAGGTGCAAGTTTTTTCTCTTTTGTTTTTTCTCTTTGATTAATGGACACAATGCTGAGATTCAGTCACTACATGAAACACCTGGCTGTGAAAACAAAACAAACAAGACCCCAAAGGGCTGTTTTTCCAAGCAGCGCTGGGGAAGCTACATAACAGTCGGATGCCAGTTTCAGAAAGATTCATCATATGTTCTGACCCTCTGTTTGTCTCTTTCCTCTCCTCTTTCTTCAAGAAGGAAGTTGATCCTAGTGATTTCAGCCCATGCATTAAACAGGAAACAATAATAAATGTGTAGAATTCATATTTCTCTAAAGGGAACTTAAAAACTGCTGCTACATGTTATGTACAAAACTGGTTTATGCCACATGAACAGAGAATCACAAGTTTGGTTTTGGTACTTTTTGTTCCTCTTGTATTCAGTTGTATAGAACTTCCAAATTCAGAATGAAAAGAAAGCTGTTCTGTATCAAACCATCTAAGCAATAAATGTTATATTTTAAAAGCGGCTGATTGCCGGTCATGTGGCCGTCCTGTGATTTGCTGTAATCCTGTCCCCAAACCCGCAGCCCACTCGGGGCAGATCACAGTATCAGGTGCCGTAGGGAAGTCACAGGCCTGCTTCCCGACACTGCGGGCGTCCCAGGTGCCCAAGAAAGTGCTGTCACCTGGGCGGCATCTTCAGCAAGCACTTGGCCGCAGTCATGGGGGGCGGCTGCCTCGAGAGAGAATGGGGTTGCCTCTGGCCGAGCTTCAGATCAAGAGACTTCATCCTGGGTGCACAGGGCCAGCAGGTGCGGCCAAGGGGACACCATGGTGCAGGCTACTCTGGGGGTCGTCGTTCAGCCACGAAAGCCAGCGATTCTGTTTTCTGCGCTCCACCTCTGAGAAGTCCACCTTGCCCCTCCCTCTTCCTCCAAGCCCATTGCAAGGGACTGAGCACCAGGTGGAGGGAGAACAAATCTGCTAGTGCAGGCGTGTTTCGGTGAGCCAGGGAGGGACAGGTCAGGACCCACAGCAGAAGGAATATGTCACAAACAGCAATGGGCAAACTCCATGTCCTCTAACTAGGAAGTGCTTCTAAAGTAGCAACATTGAAGGAAGTTGGTCATGGAGGAAGCTAATTGTGGATATGCTAGAATTATGTGTCGAGTGTGCTATGCTATGCACTTCTAAGTGCCAGATCGCTGCGGGACTAGAGTTGTGGCCCTGCGGTGCTTAAGCCGTCCCAGGCGCCTCTGTTGGGTATTCCCGCACCCCTCTGTCACCAGGAGACTGGCTCTGAGGAAGTAACAGTGAGGGCCTGACTTGTATTAAATAAAACAGCCAAATAACTCAGAACTGACAAGCAGCTCACAGGGGACAGCCCGCTATCTGGGGGAGCGTGCTGCTGGCCCCTCTGAGCACTGTTTACAGCCCCCGTGTGGATGGACTTGGTTTCCTGATGGAATTTGGGCCATCCCCACCTGGTCACTGCGAAGCAAGGGGCAGTCCCTGCGGCTGAGATAGAAAAGACCCTGGAGCCCGGCCTGCAGCCCACCACGCCCGCACCCAGCCCCGCCTCTCCGTGCGGAGCACAGGGGACCCGAGAAGGCTTTTCGGAGGGGAAGGGATGGAAGGAATTAAAAGCTCTGCGGGTTACTCAGAAAGAAGTCTGATGTTGGGCAAATGCTGTCACCCAGCGCTGTTACTTCCCGTTTCCAGCACGGGGGAACGGAAGCGGGCTGGGGCCGTCTCAGGGCCTGGAGGGGAATGAGCTGCCCCTTCCCGAGACCTCAGAGCCCCCTGCAGACGGCTCCGTCCCTGTGCCCTCACGCTGGGGTGCCCATCTCCCTGTCCAGGGCGGAGCCTAACCTACACTGTTGTGCCTGGCACTGGCCGGCGGGGTCTGGGAGCAAGTGGCTGCCAAGGCGGGCAGGGCCTGTGCAGCGGTGAAGGCCCTCGAACCCGTGCCGGCTTCTTCCTCGCCTGTCCTGGGGGAAGGAGTTAGGCACATGCAGAGTGGGCACATTTTGCAGAATTTATTTTTAGGCTCTGATAATGATTTATATTAATAAGAGCTTCATCATTAAGAATAACCTGTTAGGTAAAAACTTTGGTTTGGGTTTCTGTAGTGCCTTCAAAGAATCCCGAGCAACAGCGATGGCCTCACCTGTGGCTCTCTCTGCTTCCTCCTCTGAACTCTTTTCTGTGTTTACTTCACCTGTAAGATGGGGGAAATGAAAGGAGCCTATGTTTAAAAATCAGTTTTGCTTTTGTAGTTGTCAGAAGTAAAGTGGGTATGGCCTGTGGATGACACGGAGCTTTGGGGGACATTTCAGTTGTCTATTCCTTCCCAAGACCCAGTTAACCTCGATCGTGCATTTATTCGACAGAGTGTTTGCAGGGCGGCCGCTGTGTGCCCAGCACTGTCCTGGCACTGAGGAGCCAGCACACAGCAGAACAGACTTTGCTTGTGGAATCCAAGCTCCAACAGTGGGAGATGGACAGTAAACAGATTAGGCGGAAGATAGAATATGTCAGAGTCATCCAAGGGGAAGAGGAAGCCACGAGGGGGCGGGGGCAGGAGGGCCAGACAGGCCTGAGGGACGGCCAGCAGTAAGGAAGTCACCCACGCAGAAGTCTAGAGGGGACACGGAGGGCGAGGCCCTTGCAGTGAGACGAGAGTGCAGTGGGCGAGGGCGCAGAGGGGACGCTGGCCTCAGGCTGACAGTGGGGCGAGAGGGTCGGATGGGGGCAGGGGACCGC